GAGAACGGTCGCAAGTGGCAGTGCAACATGTGTGGTTATGTTGGTGACACTCCTCAGACGTAATACGCATGACTAGAGGGCCCCTGAGGTCTGTGGGTAGGTACTACTGCCACCTGGATGACACCATGCGACGGGCTGATCGATATGAGAGGCCGGAGCTCGTCAATGGCACAATTGACTTTATAGCTCCTGCGGAATACATGGTAAGGGATGGAATGCGGGGATTGGTGATGGGAGGTAGAAGAGGATGGTCGTAGGTTCGACCCCCACAGCCGCCGGTTTTTATGTTCCTTTTGGAGTCAACGTGAGATGTGCATGCGTGCAGAAGTGGGGTCCATACCACGCCTTGCAGATATCAAGCGGTTGCATCGGGCGCATTGGCGAGTGCTGCTGCTGCTATCAAGGAGCTTGTGGAGAAGAAGAGTTTCCCGGGAGGAGAGAGAGCGCTGGTTGGGGTTATGACCTTCGACTCTTCGGTAAAATGCCGGGTGCCGGGATCGAACCTGCGTGGATATTACTCGGACAGATCCATTTTTACAATCTCAACTCGAGGCTATCGCAACCGCAGATGCTTGTGGTGTCGGATCTAGAGGACCCCTTTTTGCCCCTACCTGATGACATACTGGTGCCGGTAATTTCATCCCAGTAGCAGCGCTCTCGATGGGTACCTCTCGAGCTCAGGCGCAGGAGTGCGAGGCGCAGCTGTCGCAGTTATTGACCAACTTGCCGGAGATGTTCCAACAGTCTCGGTAGGACTATGGGAACCATTGGTCAACGGCAGATGGCAGTGTGGGAAAAATGCACATGGTCAACTAAATGTGTTGGCGATAATATGCAAATTCTGAGGAAATTTCGGGAAGTTCTTATCGGTTTCTGTACACTTGCACTCGAATTCGTATGTGAACTTCTCTAATCTAGTATGATCAAAGAGATTTCATATGTAAATGAGGGAACTCCCGAGCTCAGCTGAGAAAAGCAAGTATATATTCCAACACTACTAGATGATGCTGTTGTGAAGGTCCAACGAGTCGTGTCTGTCGGCGGCAGTGAAAGCAGCGTGGATGGCGATGAAGCACGTCGGTGGGAAGCTCATCATTTGCGCCAGTAAGGGGAGGATTTTCGAGCCAGAGATGGTATTTAAATGGTAGGCTCGATAGCATCGGTTGGTCCGAACGCGTTGAAGTCGACGAAGGAAAATCTGAGGTTGCTCAACACTGACCGGGAGATTGAGATGCTTAAGCCTACAATGGAAGGGTACGTGAGGTTCTGTTGGAGGTTTGTTATAGCGGGAAGCGCTAGGTTCAAAGAGTTGGCTGCTGATCTCACCCGGGTTCAAATCACGGCAGAGATGTTTTTAACTACCAATATGTACATGGTAATGCAATGATATTGTAAGGCTTCTTTTGTTAACCTGTTGGTCAGGACATCGCCTCGATATCACCCCTGGCGCGTTACACTGGTGGCGACATCAGATACTATCCCGGCTTCCGAGCTGACATCCACGGTTGGTGAACGCTTTTCGTGTCGCTGTTCGACTCTCTTTCGATTAGGGGAGAAGCTGCGAGAGGAGCTGCAACACGTGTGCACGAGAGATATGGGCTGGGAGGCGGTCATGCGTGTGCGTGTTAGCAAAGGATGGAAAGTCACTAACTTTTATGGTCACATGTTCGTCAGGTGGGTCAGCTACTAGCATGACTAGCCTATATGCAGGTCTCTCATCTCAGGACGCGCGATCTGCTCGTTGTCCCTAACTGTCACGAAGACCAAACTTTTTCTATTACGCTGGAGCCAGATGCCGATGTAAAATGTTCAGCCTTGGGCTGGGACAGTATGTTCATATTTGTGTAGGGCAACTCGGGAGGAGGCGGAGGCGGCCCAGTAGATCCTTTCGTATGCGTACAGTGTGCGCTGCTGTTCACTACCTCCAATGGCGAACGAAGGATACGAGTGCACACGGTGCAGTTGCCTACTACGGGAAATATAGATGAGGTAGGGAGACGTTCCAGCTGACTCGCGATAGTCTGGTGGGCTCAGGTTCTTGATACGACCGATCCGGAAGCTGCCACGGGTTTGATGGCTTCCTTGGCTTGTGATAAGGCGATGGAGGCTAGCAGCAAGCTGGCTGACGCTAGGAATCTGGTGAGGGTTGACGGGGTGTCGGATTCTGGTGTAAGCCGCCTGTTATTGACAGATACAGAATACTATAGGCCAGATAGTCACGTCCACGCAGTCTCACATTGAAGCTGTGCGACCATTGCCACTACATGTGAGGAGATTATACTCGCTGTCTCAGGACTCACCTGCTCGGCTTGTAGGTTCTGGGTCTCTTGAAATCGCCGATGTTCAGGGCGACTAGTGACGTACCATCGGACCAGAGGGTCTACTACTGGACAAGGTATGTGGTGAGGAGTTGGTGTTGTTTGGGTACTCATGTCTGGTAGGCATGAGTCGATCTCGCTCCCTCTGCAAGCCGCGCTCTTTTATCCGAGGATGTTCGCAGTTCACCAGCTTTCGGGCGATGAAGGTAATTTTATTGCCTCCTGTCCACTAGGAATGGAGACCACATCGTTGACAGGCACAGTCGATCCGAACACCGAGAGAGTAGTTCTACCGCACTGCATCGCTCTGAGTGCCGAGAACATGACTGGGGTAGGATGAGCTTCTGATAGGGAATGGTGTTGACCGTGTTGTGGTATGCAGGACGGAATTTACCTCCAAGAAGATGGGGAGTCTATATTGATGTGGATCGGCAAGGCTGTGTCGCCGCAGCTTCTACATTCTCTCTTTAACATACCATCTCTGGACCAACTCGCGCTTGAAATGGGGGTAATATGGTCACTCACAGTGTGTAATTAGAATGTACCGAAAAGGAGGTCATTTCTCCCTCATCTTGTGAATGGGCATGCTGAGGGCGGACCATTTTTTGGTAGTTGGCAACCACTGCTTGCGGGCCGACCGGAAATTGCTCACTGTGTTTTATTTCAGGAGAACTGCCTTGCCCGAGATTCGCCCGATGACACATGTAGGTTCAGTCTTGAACTGTAAATTGAACTTGGTGTTGCTTTATCGATGCTCGATGGCTTGTCGATTTCCCTTGCAATTCGTCTCTTTCACTGTATGCCCTTTTCCTCAGGTCAGCGAGTGATGTCTATTATCGATCAGCTGAGGCTGGATAGAGCCCCTCCGATGATGCAGCTCATCCTGGTACCTCAGGGCAGCCAATATGAGGTCCGATTCTTCTCTAATCTCATCGAGGATAAGACCATCGGTGAGTGACTGTTGGTTCGCTTGCGTTTGATGACCTCATTTTCATCTATTATTATCCTTGGACTTGCCTCAGGTATGCAGATGAGCTATCAGGAGTTCCTTCATCGCATCGGTGGGAGCAATCAACCAAGAGGTAAGCGTCTGGCGGTCGGGGATTCGTATATATTTCAGCTCATGTTCTTATTCTGAATCATTGACAGGTGGTTGAATTTGCAGTAGAACTCGCGGTGTTACTCATAATCTCATCCTTGATGACATGTTTCCCACAGGCCCACTTTTCCCCAGAGGTTCCAGTGGTGCTCCTGTAGGCACTTCTCAGACCCCAGGCATAGCCCCGCAAGCTATGATGCCGAGTGGTCCGCAGATGTCTGGACTACAAGGAGGCGCACCCATGCCCCCTCCACCGGGGGGAATGTATGGCTCTGAGCAACCTAAGAGCGCGCAGATGCCAACAATGCCTCCGATGGGGCAAATGCCCCTCGCACCACCTTCCATTGGCAATCACGTTCCTAACGGCCCTCCTCGGATGACCCAATCGCCAATGGGTCAGCCCCCGATGGGTCAGCCCCCGATGGGCCAGCCCCCGATGGGTCAGCCACCGATGGGTCAGCCCCCAACGGGTCAGCCACCGATGGGTCAGCCCCCAATGGGTCAGCCCTCGATGGGTCAGTCCTCGATGGGTCAGCCCTCGAGAGGTCAGCCCCCGATGGGTCAGCCCCCGATGGGACCGCCGCGGAGCACGTGAGTTGATGGTCTCAACTTGCTCTAATGTTACGCGATCGTGCTCAGGTATCGATGAAGAGAAGATATACGGTCTGTTCAGCATAGTTTTTTTGCTGACGGTTTTTGCTGAAGATATGTTGAGCGGTGCCATATTATAACTTTTGCAGTAGAATATCTGGGCTTTGTGTTTTGCGGGTCAGTGGCACAGGGTTTGTGACGTTGGAGAGCATCCATAAAACGAATGACGAGTGAAAGTTTATTCGGATTTTACTCAATTGTCGCACATGCTGCCCTGGGACTAGGACGCACTAGCTTTGTGCGTTGCTAACAAAGACATTGCCTGCTATATAACATGGTCTATCCTTATTGTATATCAGCTCGCACAGTGGATGTAGTATCGTCAGTGCTTGGTTGAAAGGATGTGACTGACTCACCATGGGTCGCGTCGAAGCCCATCGATCTCAGCTAGCGAATTCGGAATACAACGAGGGAGTCTTGCCGCCGTACTCGCCGTACTACGGCGATAAACCTGGCTCCTCGTCATGCTCTGCTATCCTGAGGATAGTATCCTCGTTGCGACATTACCTTGCTAGTTTTGGTCACGGAAGCAGTTGTGTTACTATTAGTGTTAGTTGCTAACAAGTATCACAGCAAAACAATGTGATACTACAAGGGCCCGAGCCCCAAGGATACATGGCATACAATGCATTGCAAGTGAGTATGATGACGCTTCACAGAGTCCGAGATGAGGATTCTCCAGATTATGGAAGTTTACCTGGTTGGTAACTGATGGTTGCTCTACATTTGTTTATTACTGGGCCTCTTTCCGTTAGGTTTTAGGTCCCTGAATACTGGGTGATATTCTTTTTTCATCTCAAGTCCTGTGATTTATGTGCTGAAGTTGTCGTGCTGTCGGTTGAGCCAGGTCGATCGACATTTCAGCTAGACCGACTTGTTAGCTCGAAGTGCATCGCATCGCAGCAAACGATGGTGAGTCTCATCAAGTGGCAAGTGATTCCGCCTAACTACGACTGCTCTGACGACCTCGAAGTTCGAGTCCCGAATTGTCGAGACTCCCAGGCTGGG